GGGCTGGATATAGATCTTGTGCTAGATCTATATCCAGCCCGGGGGGGGGGGGCTCCATTTGTAAGGGGTATGCATGTGATCAAAAATGGTAACTCGTCCCTTAGTCTTAAGAGAAAAGAGCACAACAAAAGTGTTGGAATAATTGAAACACAGTAAACATTAATATTGATCAGTCTATCAGGCCTAATCTGGTTAGAATGTCCAAGAAGAGGTGTGTTTATTTTCTTTTTTAATCTTTTTTTTAATTGTCGCTACAGAAGAGGATTGGGGCCACTGGGAAAAAAATATTAACTGATTTTTAAATATTATTTCAGTTTAATATGGGAAAAAAGTCGGAATTCTGACTTTAATCTTAGAATTCTGACTTTTTCATATTCTACTGAAACAAAATTTAAAAATCTGTTAACTTTTTTTTTTTTTTCAGTGGCCCTGATCCTGCTCCGTACGTCTCCTTTGAGCCGTGCGGTGGAAGTTTTCCTACAGGCCATGAATGCATCGCGCGCCCTCCCTTTTCAAAGTGCGCATGCGCAGGACATGTTGTAAACAATGAGTCTATTCCAGACCGTCTTGAGCTTTGTGTCTAAGTTTATCAGTGGAAAACTAAACGCTCCCTCTCTGCTCTGAGTCTGCGGAGCGAGATGCTCCTCGGTGAGTAAAGCAACGCTGTCCCCGATAGATGCCACCGTTCAAACCCTGATATTAATCAGCATCAGTACCACCTATCTGACGGTGCGGTCCGAAACCCATCTCGGATGACATGTTTGGGCGTGACAGCGTGCGGAAGAACAGAGCGGTGTGGACTGCATGTGTCCAGCTCGCTCTGAGGGTTAAACTGTCCCTTTATTCAGCAGTGGTCGCGCTGATCAGCGCAGACCGGGTTGCTGGGAGTCGTGTGTAGCTTTTAAATGCTCACTTCCCGGCTTCTCAATGCTGCTGCTGCTTAGCAGGCTAGTCAGCTGAGGCTAGCCCAACATTACTGTCGCCTTTCTCCTAAAATTAAGCTTGAAGTGAAACGTTTATCATTTCTTTACGTGTTTTGGTCATTTTTAATGTCAGTTTGTTAAAACTTCTTTTTTTGTCCATAATAAGATTGGAAAATGTTTTTTTTTTCTGTTGAGTATTGTATATCTTGCATTTATTTTTGATCAATGTGGTGGAATGTGACAAAATTTAAATATAGACTCTCTACTCTATATAGAGACTGTATAAAAGCTAGAGATAAAGACACCTCTGTTATATATTAGTTTGCATTTTTTTCCTAAATGTGATGCACCTTTAAAGATGCACAAATTTGAAAAGTCTTTATGCATAATCAAACAGAAATGGAAAACCCCCCTAATTGTCTCACAATGGGGAAATTCTGGTGTTTACAGCAGCAATAAATTACAGAAGAAATGTTTACATTGTTAAAGATCTGTGTATGCACCTTGAAGCTCTATCTCTCCGGTTCTTCTCCCAGAAAAGAGATCACTCGGGACAAACTCTTTAAATAACATTTCATAACTTATATGTATGAAATAACCATGAGACATGACAACAGATTCTGATAGAAATCATAGAAATTGTTTAGAGTTTACAGAAGGCAGCTGCTCTCCTCCGGGCTCACCTCTCAGGAAGTGGCCCCGATTAACAGTTAAAAAGGTATTTTATACATCTCCAGTCTGCCATAGCTTCATATTTTACGTCATACACGTTAGCAGATGATTAGACATCCATGGCTCCAGCCTTATCAAAATATTACACTTTGTTCTTAGCTGAAGGACATTGCTCTCATTCATTTCCAAACCCATGCCATTCACACTGCTGTATTGCACACTGCTCTATTTGCACTACCTTGTACATTTTACTTTTTATATTTATCCATATTTTTATCCTAAGTGTATATATTAGTATATTTTTTGCATGCCTTATACCCCAGTGTTTTTAGAGATTTTTATAATTTTATTTACTATTTCATATATGTTTCATGTTGCACGACTGTACCACAAAAAATTCCTAGTTGTGAACTTCTTCACTAACAATGGCAATAAACCCGATTCTGATTCTGATTCTGATTCTGATTCTGATTGCCACACACAGAATGAAGATTATAACTGTGTATCCAGACAGAGGAACTGTCCTATTCAGATTAACTATTATGGAAAACATCAGTTCTGACACGCAACAGGCAGCCAATGCCAAGGTGTAATAAACTCACACATCTTCAATGATAATTATCCTAACAATACAAATATGGACCTTTAGAAAAATGTATAAAAATAACATAATGGTGAAGTTAAGAGATAAACAATAAAATACTCTTCTGTAAAGTGTTTTCACAAAATAAAAACTGTGCACCTGGAGAATAAATAACCAATATACAGCTATGGACTTTTTTACAGTAACGGATATTTGAAAATAGCAGCAACATCTGAGATGCGCAAAATGACAATAGGACCTTACAATTGAATTAATTTATGATATAGCTTGTTATGTGAGATATATGTTAGAACAGAAAGGAATATTTAAAATGGTTTCGCATCTTGGTGTTTCGTCAATCGTTTGATCCGAATGTGAAATTGGCAGATTCTGCATCGCTAATGTGTTTGGTAGTCCGCAAGTAAACTACTTAAAAGGAAAAGGTATTACAATACTGTAATAATGTTTCTGTTAATTATCGCATTAACCAACTTTAATGCAATTTTATTTAACTGTTATCTAAATATCACACAAGGCTTGTACATGTGGATAACATTGCACCTGTTAGACAAATTTGACTGGTTAAAGTTGTTATCAGCAGGTCAGGCATGACTGACTGGTACATCTCTTAACCTTTTAAATCCCTTTTTTTTTTTTTTTTTTTTTACAATATTTATTAAAGAAACCTGTTAACTGCTTAGCTGTATGTTGTGTTGCAGGGAGCTGAAGCATGGAGGCGGTTCTGAGTAGGCTGAGGGGGCTGAGTCCTGCCGAGCTGTCTGAGGAGTTTGTGAGAGCGGACCTGAAGTGCGGCCCCATCACGCCTACCACCCGGGCTACCTATGAAAGGAAGTTAGCTCGTGTTCTGGCTGCACAGGCGGGAGCTGGTTCTGAAACGGACAGCAGCTCTTCATCGCAGGTCACAGATGGCACGGAGGCAGGAAGCACCTCGGCTGCTTCGCTTGAGACCGCTGGAGCCAGCAGCAGTTCCTCGCTAAAAAACGGTGAAGATTTAGACTTTGGCTACGGCGTGGGTCTGAACCCTCCAGAGGAAGAGGAGATCTCAGGAAAGTCCAACTTTAAAAGCTCGGGGGACTCGACGACAGAAACGCCTTCAAAGCCAGCACAAGTCTCTCCTACTTCATTTTATGGAGTCTGTCCCCTGTGGGAGGATGTCTTGGTTCGAAGTGGTAAGACTGTTAAAAATTATCCCACCTGGTCATTCAAAATTTCTAAATAGTTATCCTTTGGTCGATAAATGATGCATTTTTCGCTTGTAAATTCTTCTTGATATAAAGAAAAAAATCCCAAATTAGACATTTTACTGTTTGCTCTACTTTTAGAAAACACATTTTTACTAACCAGGGTCTAAAGTCCTACTAAAGTTTATTCTAATTGTTTACCAAAGACTCTGAGCTGTCAACATTTCCCCAACTAAAGGGAATGTTTGTTTTTTGAGTATATTGATTTATTTATTTTTTGGTCAAGATGGACCTCTATTAAAGCTGCTCTTCCTGGAGCACCAATCTCACAGCACAGATGGGTTCAGAAATGTTCAGAGGACAGAAGTGTGAAGCTGTTTACGACATTGGGCTCTGCTAACCTTTGTGGCCTTCTGTGTCCACCAGCAACTCTCTCATTGGCAGATATTTTCCACATTTTGTCACATTGCAATCTCAAGTTTATTTCTCTTATTGTTTGGATTTTATTTATTAGACCAACACAAAGTTGCTCATAACTGTGAAGTGGATGAAATTAATATTTAAGATAAATCTAATCACCCCCCTTTCAGTAAATTCTTATTACTATAAATTTTGCTGCAGGTATGTTTTGAAATTGTGTAAATGAAAAATCCTTTTTAGTTTCACACATCAGGAAACACAATCTCACTGATTGGCTCCATCTCTAAACATCAGTTAAATACACAGACTCCTGATTGAACTTTATTTCACTGCATCCATCTTCATATTTACTCTGACCAGCTTCCCGCCTCTGGTGAAAAGAACAATCCCAGCTGGATGCTGTTTCATCCTGGTGGTGAAGTGATGTTAGTTCAGGATGTGTGACATTAGTTCCCCCGCACAGATTACTGTCAGCATGCAGCCAAAAGGGTTTAATTTCTAGTCCGATTTGAAAAGTAAACATTCCTCCATCAGTTTGCTGTGTCTATGGCTGCACCTTATTAGAAAGTCTTGCTTTGGTGAGAATATTGGTAAATTATTCAATTAAAAACATCACTTGGGAGATTTTACTCCTTCCTCTTGTTCTTACATATAGGGATGGAAATAAAAAAATGGTTCCTGTTCAGAACCCGTTCCATGTGTTCCGATTCCATGGCACCGTATGGCAGCTCGCTTAATGATTCTCTTAAGGGTTCCAGGCAGCACCAGAGCCTGGCGCTGGGCAGCATGACTTACGTCATGTTTTTTACGCAGGTTACGCACACGGCATTCAGTAAGCAAGTACGACTTGACCAGGCGTATGTCTAGAAAAGCAAAACAAAAAAATGGCACCCCATTGGGTAAAGCGATCGAAGGTTTGGCTTCGTTTTAGGGAAGAGAAAGATGGCAACAAGGCGCTTTTAATCATTGCAAAGTGGCAATTACATCCACGGGAGGAAATACATCCAGCATGCAGAAACACATGCGCATACAACATGGCATACATTTTAACAAAGGCTGTGTTTTTTATGCTTCTGGACAGAAGCTAAAGTTAAAACACTTAAGATTATTTGTTTTAAAAACAAAATTTTTATTTCCCTCTACTAAACGTATGCCTTATGATGTCTGATAAAAACACATTGAAATCTGTGGCTTTAAGGTGACTTTTTCAAGGCACTGATTCTGGAGAACACCTGGAAACAGACGGACTTCTGAACCGCAAGTAAAGTAGCTATCAGAGAACAGAGTTGGGTAACTTTGTGTCTGTGTGTTTGTTGTAGAGGGACCACATGTTTACACGGATAAGAAAGACGCACTTCAAGCTGTTAAGACGATGAAGGGAGCGCGTTTCAAAGCGTTTACCAACCGAGAAGATGCAGAGAAGTTTTCTAAGGGACTCTTTGACTATTGTCCATCTCCAAGCAAATCCACTCCCTGCATCTCCCCGATCAAACCTGGACTGCTCGCTGGGAAAGGTGGGGTGGAGCGCATTGTGATCAGTGTATGTGTGTTCTCTAAAACCTGGTCTTTCAGCTTAACAGCATCGTTGTTTTGAAATGTTTATAAATAAGTGAAGTGGTGATGAAATTGAGGCATTATTGAATAAAACATTTGATCAAACACTGGTTTTGGTTTCTTGTCTCAGCAGAAATCCAGGAGGTGGACACCATTAACAGGGAGCGGGCCAACAATTATAAGAGCCCAAGAAGTCAGGATCTGACTGCCAAGCTACGGAAAGCTGTGGAGAAAGGGGACGAGCAGGCCTTCAGCGAGCTCGTCTGGAACAACCCGCGCTACCTTATTGGTTCAGGGGATAATCCCACCGTTGTCCAGGTATGGATATGAATGTGTTGCTGGGGTGATGGGCTACTCATGTTGGGCAACACAGAGTTAAAGTCTTAGGGAAACAGCTGTTCCATTGGTTTCAAATGTGATTGGTCATTTATCAAGGGGGCGGGGTTGTTGTGGCAGAAGGTTGGCAAGCAATTTGATTGTGGCTGGTTACTCGGAAGCATCTTGCTAACCAGTTAGCAAATTAGTGCTAGTAGGTTCCCAATGGAAATTCCATTGGGACCAAGTAGCACTAAATTGGTGACTTAGAAATTATACTGTCAAGGAACGCTATGGACAGCGGAAACATGAAGAGGGGAGTTTTGTGTCAGAGGTCGTTGATGAGTTTCCTCCGTCACACATTTTTTATTCAGAGGAGGAAAGCGGGGACGAAGATGTTGTGGAAGAAGACGCCAGGTCGGCAGAAGCTTGGTTTGGTGTAGAAGGCTTACAGCCGTACATGTTTGAGCCCTTGCCTCGCAACGCTGCCAGTTCTGTTAGCTCTACGCCTGCTGAAGACACAGACGTCCATCCCCGTGAACACTGGGTTGTAAAACAAAATTATTCTTATTTTATATTTCAACCATGGCGTATATTAGCTGCGACATATGAATCAAGTTTCTATGACTGAAAAAATTTGATTGACAGATGACCGTTGATATATGATTGGCCGAATTTAGGTTTACAAGCTGATGCATAATTAACTGGCCTGCATAAAAACACTAAAAAAAACCCCCATAGATTTTAAGACAGGATAAAAATAAAAAAAAAAGAGTAGATTTATATACATGTTTAAGCCAGAATGATTTGACATTTAAATACGACTTCCCTGTGACTTGAAATTGGAGCATCTTTTGTAAGTTTCCAACATTGGTTTAATTAAATCTGAGTAACAGAGCTGTGGTTAATAGTTAGATCAGAATTGAGCTTCTTGTGGAAATTCCCCATCATCCTTATGTAGCTTTTATCTGACAGGTTTGTCGTAACGTACTGACAGGTTGAGGTCACTTAATGCTCGGTCTAGAGGCCGCTTTCATCAGAACCTTTGGTTTTAATACTTATCCTGCAGGTTTGTTGTCATACTTTTCTTGAGCACATGCACAAGTAAATGCCTTTATTGTTTGTTTATGAAGGGGATTAGTTGGAGTTCAGGCTTTCTCCCTCCTTGGAGCGGCACACAATGCTAGGTTATGCTTGATGGACCTGTGCTCTGCATTTGCAGCGTTTCTCCCCTGTACCTAATATTTTGGCCCGCTTCAGGAGGTTGGTGTGCAGCACAGAGCGTCTGCTTACAATACCACACAAGGTTTATAAACCTCTTCTGTCAAAGAGCGAGAGAGTAGTTATTTTCCAGGAGTTTTTCTCTCTGTTGATGGCGTAAGTACCACATCTGCTCAGGGCTCCGCCCCTTCTTATGACGTCAACATATGGCAACTCCACTCTGACATACTGTATTCACCCGTTTCGTAGGGATTGAATCTCTTTTGGAGTTTTAACATAATATGACCTATATTTGCTATTATTTTACATTTCATTGGCGATCTAAAGTAGCTGAAACTACAAAACAATAATTGCCAGTCTTGAAGGAAAATACTGCGTTCTAAGACAGACAGAGCTCTGCCATTTACCAAGGTGACACAAACGTCCCTTTTTTTTATTCTTTTTATTGAGATCTGATGGCAGTGGAGGACAAATGGGACATTTTAAAAAATGACTTTCGTTGAGATTTTAGACAAATAAAGCAGTTAATCTACTAGAAAACTAACGGTTGTTGTCGATATGAATTCAAAAGTAGTGTAGCTTAATATGGGTAACTGACTGAGCTAAAAGAGGCGAACCTGTTAGCCACTGAGCATAGCTAGCTACAGCGCTACCCAGCTCTATGCAATGGTCTAACAGTTACTTTGTTCAGCATAAACAGATTTTTTCAGCTTTGTTAGTGATCAGGTAAAACTTCATCAGACATTATATGCGCTAACGTTACAGATGATCCCGACTCGGCACACTGGCACTGCATTATCTTATAATTGTCTGGGCAACCACAACGTTCAGCCGACCATGTAGCGTATCGTCACTGGCATGCGCAGGACCAGAGCAGGTCTGGTACCTACAGTGATAATCGTACGACCACTCTAGAGGTTTATTTTGGTGAATCCTCAACAGTAGCAGCTGGCGCCATGTTTTTCCTCGCAGAACTGGCAGCATAGTTACACGTTTCCTAGATGTGTGATGCAGATAACCAGGTCCTGGGTTAACCTAGGAAGCTAGAATGAAGCCTTTTTTTAGAGGCGTGAAAAATAAAGCAGGTAGTTGGCAGACAGGTGCAGGGAAATCCAACTCTGTTTTACTTACATGTGTGTTGAGTTGACAAATCTGTGCTTTATTACACACCTGAAGCACAGAGGAGCCTGCTAATGGGTCTTTAGTTTTAGTTTGGCAGTGTTAGAAGTCAGTCTGACATTTTGTTTTTAATTTTAAGTTTTAGGCCTGCAACTAACGACTGTTTTTGCCTAATGGAGTAATCTGTTGATTTGTTTTTCGATAAATTGATTAAGCATTTGATGGTGAAAGGTTCCTTAAAGAAGATTTTACACAAACTATAGACAGAGCTGTCCTTTGGTGGCTTCTTCTGGTACAATAGCTCCTTTGGGAGGTTTGCTTGTTCGGTTAAAGGCATGTTTTACAGTCTCTATACTTTGGGTTTAAATTTGACCAACATACAGGGATGTGAGCCATCTAGTGTGACACCCCTAAATGAAACCTTTTACAAGTCATCAAATCTGTAAAAAAAAATTAGCTTATTTGTAATACATTATCTGTATAAATGTGTCTGTTGGTGGATGGAGACGTGAACAAGTGGAATCATGACAACCAGAGAACATGTGTAGAGGTTTACTTAAAAATGCTAAATAGTTTTTCCAGTGAAATGTTTTGGAGTACATTTAATGTTCAGTATTGTAAGAGAATTAATTTAAAAGGGCTTCCGGTTTTTCTTATGGACCACTTTGGACACTCCTGGTACTGAACTTAATCGTTCTTTAAAAGACACAGTTCCGCCGACTCTAGAGCGTCTCTTCTATTAATAGGGCGACCCGGTCTGAGCTGGAACCGGGTCATGTGTTTATACACAAACATCTTTTCCATTGTCAGTGCCAGCCTCCAGCAGGGACAACATAAAAAACAGCTGGACTGGTGATGTTTGTGGCCTGTAATCTGTAACTCCATCTGGGAATGTTGGTTTTTGATGCTTGAATACGAATAAATAATAAAATAGAGGGACTATTGATCGTTTTGTGTCTTATGCTTTGTGTCTCCAGGAGGGCTGCCGGTACAACGTCATGCATGTGGCGGCCAAGGAGAACCAGGCAGGGATCGCTCAGCTGTTGCTGGACACCTTGGAAAACCCAGAGTTCATGCGCCTCATGTACCCAGATGACCAGGAAGCCATGCTGCAGAAGCGAATCCGCTATATTGTAGATCTTTACCTCAACACTCCCGATAAGGCTGTCAGTTCTGTTACCCATTAACAGCGTTTTATTTCCAGACAGACATGCAGACCTCATGGTGTTTCTGTTTCCCTAACGGTTGCAGAGCTTCGAAACGCCGCTCCACTTTGCCTGTAAGTTCGGATGTCCAGATGTGGTCAATGTCCTGTGCTCGCACCCCGATACCGATAAGAACTGCAAGAACAGGGAAGGCCTGAAGCCATCTGACGTAAGCAACCAAACTCCCCACCCCCCATCTGGTTAAAAACCCCAGTTCACATTTACTGGGAGGTTATGGTACGTCTATATGGGAGCCGTCTGTCAGCCGACTAGAAAAACGTGCTCGGAGTAGCTGCAGAGGGTTTGACCTTTTTTAAAACCTGTTGGCAGCAGTCACTGACTAAACAATGTGAGCTAAATTTAGCCGAGCAAATGTTTGGAGCAACAGTGGCATGTGTGGACTTGGCTTTATTCATTTGTCGTTCTTCTTTGTTCCGCAGCTAATTTGTAGCAGGAAAAATAAAACCGCAGATGTGAAACAGAGAATAAGTGACTACCTGGAAGGTAAGGAGGATCCACAGCTGTTTATATTAAACTAATAAACTTACATCAGTCCAAAAAAACAGTGCCACGGGCTGGCGACACCCTGAAAATACAGATAATTATTACATTTACAGAAAAATATAGGGATGTATTTATATTAAAATCATTCAGTTAAAATTTCTTTTTTATTACTTAATTTTACATTTAATAATTTAATTGTAGATTTGCTGTTATATTTGACTCATGAATAAAATTTAGTTTCTAAATTGTGATATATTGGTACCTCATGATGCTTTTATTTCATCCATTAATGTGCCTCAGGGATGATTTCTCACTGAAGCCCCATTTAGACACTGGAAAAAAAATCTAAATCTAAATAAGTAATTTTTTCTTAAAATAATTACATTTGTTCTTGAATTGAGGAAATAAAAGAGACCTTTTGAAATAAGAAAACACAACTGAATTGTCTTATTTCAAGTGCATATTATCTAATTATCTATTTTTAAGAGTAAAAATACTCATTCCATTGGCAAATTCATATTTACCTACTCAAATTAAGGGTAAATGCACTTAATTTAAGATTTTTTTACTTATTTCTAGATTGTTTTTCCAGTGCACTACCTTCTGAAAAGCGATCCGTGCCGAGCTTGGATCAGTTAACCGTGCCGAGCTTGGTTTCTTTCGACCGTTTACACACCACGCTAGCACGGTTCCTCACCTCCTTGTGACAATCTACGGTACTACTGCTCTCTAGAGGTAAACAAGCAAACCAACATGGCGGCGCCAGTAACACTCAGGAAAGGGCTGGTTATCCTCCTGCAGCAGTGTGTCGCAGTGAGCTTGTCGCATATATTTTTTGATTTATGCCCAATATTGAAATGTGGTCTGCGCTATGTTATATTCCACGCCACAACGCAAGAGGGACAATCACGAACCAGCTGTGGGTCTAGATACGGCCGGGGCGGTGAGGAAGTGGGGGCAAGTTTGTCCGACAACGGAGGGACATGAGGGCGAACAAGAGCGGAGATCCAGGTGGAAAAACAGTCCCAGCGTTCTCTAGCTGGTCCATCTTCACGAGTTGTTTTCCACAGTGGCGGTCATACAAACAAAACAAGCCGGTAAGGTACGAAACAGGAAATGCGCATAGTGTAGAGCGGATGTAGATTTTACCAATCAGCTACCTCCTGTCTACGGTCACCTACAATTTTTGGAGAGGTGCACCAGAGTGTCTATGGAACATTTGCGTTCACTGTAACACACATGCAGTTGACCTGGTTTCTGAGTATAAACCAGCCTGAATTTTGCGCTCTTTGTTATCAGAGATTCGCACCAGAACTGAACCACGCCGAGCCCGACTGATGAACTAGTACCATGTTAGTGCGGTTCGGTGCTGTCTGGCACCGTCTGGTTAAGTTTGTACCATTTCCCGAGCTCAGACCAATCTCAGCACGGTTTCAAAAGGCTTGATGCTCAATGTGAAAATCATCTCAGTGTTTTAGAAGCCCTGGTCTACATGGCATCACTCTCCCCTGTGGAACCAGGCTAAAAAAACAGCTGATCTCAGCGTCACTAAGAGCTTTAAAAAATATTAGAGGGAATTAAAAAAAATGTTAGAGTAACCAGACAGGGTTAGAAGCTTATAGAAAATCCTGTATTAATGCTTTTCCTATATGAAGTGACTCCCTCTTAAATGTCTAAAGCTTGGTTGTATTGTTTCCCAGACCGCTGCTTCGTCCCTTTACTGCGGGCGGCCGACAACACCTCTCAGCCCATCATTGGCGCTCCCTGGTCACCAGATTCGTCACACAGCCTTTCGATGATCGAGAGACACACAAGAAGCCCCACGGATCCGTGGATGACCGTCACGGCCTTTGCTGGCCCACTTAGCCCTTCTAAAGCAAGTATCCCCCTCGGCCTTGTTTCTTTGACATAAAGGGTTAAACCTGTTGCTAACTGTAACATATTATTTATGTGCTGCAGGCAGATGACTTTCGACGATCCTGGAAAACGCCACCGAGAGACCGAGCAGAACTTTTTCACCACATTTTTAAATCCGACCCAGATAGAGGGGCTGAGAGGGTGGGCAGGTACGTCTTGAACTTTTCTGTTTTGGGCTTTAATGTCGCAACTCTAAAAAGTATTGGACCAGTTTTTTTAATTAAAGAGCTTCACCAGGCTTTTAAGCTTGAAATGTTTCATAGGGTGAAGACTTTGGTGTATCACATCTTAAGGCTTTGTGCAGTGTAGGGGGGGGGGTCTGGGTATCCTCCCCTGGAAAATGTGGAAATTTAGACTCAAATGCCATTTCCTGCATTTTGAGGTGGAATGAAGATAAGTTTTTGTCGTGATTATGGGAAGTGTATATGCTCACTAATGGTAGAAATCTTATAAGGAAGACATGAGATCATTTTTAGGCACATTATTTCATAGGTTAATTTAAACAATCAGAAAGTGTAAAGCTATGTTCACACCGAACGCCATCTAAAAAGCATTGATTCTTCATTTTCACTTCTTTTGCACATCAAGGCCAATTTATGGTTCTGACGCATAGCCTCTGCAACCGTCAACCGCCTGTCTCTATGCGCGACCACGCGCCTCACGCAGAGGTTCTTCAACAGCCGTCCCGCACCTCAAAAAAATCATGACTACACGTTGTACGGTCGCAATGCCGCACAGACCTCAAGCGGAAGTGCGCAGACAAAAAGCAGCTGTGATTGTTTCTTGGTATGCCTTTCCGGTCGTCTGTGTGGTCGTCCTTCTCGATTCGATGCTGGCGGGCGCGGCATTTTTAAAAACCGAGGAACAACTACAATGGACAACCTACGTGTCCTTCTTTGTGTTTTTGCCAACTCCATTAACTGAACCTGTTCCTCCTCAATGTTTAGCAACTCCAGATCCATCTCCGTGACCGTGATAACTTGCAGACGTGTCATTGTTGTTTTGGAAGATAAACTCTCCTGCCGGCGCCGCCAAAGTTCTCGTGACCATCCTCCAAAGTTCTTGCGAGTTCTCGAATAGGCCCCCCCTAATCATTAAATTATAATGTTTTTAATTAATACCTGCATTGGCAAAAACATTAATTAAATGGAATTATTGTGGCATTTAAAATGCTTTATTAAAAAAAAGTTTACAGAAATAATTTCGTCAGATATTTTCTATTGTGATATGTTTGCTCTGAACTGCTTCCGGTTGATCGTAAAGACGTATATTCGGAAAAAAGCTCAAGGTGGAGAAAAAGGTAGAGAATGGGAAAATCCAATCTTCAACAAGTGGCTGGAACATGAGGAATTCGGGACATGGGTGCAGCCTGTCGACGGTAAAGATGAAGGATTTTGTCGTGTTTGAGAGTCATGGGTACTTGTTGGTGGTGTTAAAATAGTTTCTAAGAGCGTTAAAAAGCATTCAGTTAGAGTTACTCCTTCCTATATAAACCCTGGTTTGGGTCTTGAAGGTTCTGAGGTTCAGTCTCGCACACTCCCACAGACTGCCACTCTTATTCCCTGAGCAAGATCCTTAACCCCAGTCTGCTCCCCAGGTGCCGCACAGTGGCAGCCCATTGCTTCCCAAGGGGATGGGTCAAATGCAGAAAGTGAAATTCGTTGCTCTGTACTTGTGACAATAAAAGTTAAAAAAACAAAAAAAAAAACAACAAAAAACTAAAACTAGATGTTAGCGTTTTTCAGGTATGTGCTACGAACTGCAGGCACCAGAATTGTAAAAACGAACATATTTGGCCAGCAGATTGTTACATTTTAAGTTCATTTAGTTTCAGAGCAGTGATCATGGTGCTCTGCATCAGCAGTGCAGTGTCTGTCTCCCTGCCGGCTCCTAGATCAGCTTCTCTCATTGGTTGATGTGGCGTGTTGAGCAGCAAAAGTTCAATTTTTCCAACTCCAGCTGCTGCCGCTTGTGAAATTTGTAATATTTCAGTAAAGTTTTCAGGGGAAGATTAGGGCGTACCAAGGTCGTACATCGCCAAAAACAGTGTATACTTTTTTTCAGTCAATGGCGTAAAATGTACGCCCGTACAAGTTAGTAGCTAAAAGCCTGAGCTTCACTGTTTAGGCATAAAATTATGACCAGCAAGGACGTAGTGTTTTCTCCGACACCTTTTCTACCTAGAACAACTATTGCTTTTTCTTGGAATTGAATTTTCCCTTTTAATTCATTTGGATCAGACAGCACAAACTCTTAAATCCTTCATTCTCACCCATTTTCCTCATTTCTAACTGGAAGTGGAGAAAAGTTTCACTGTCTGCCTTTTATCCCCCACCCAGTAACTGATGAAATAATCTGCTACTTACAGCAGTGTGTTAATGGTCATCGGGTTTTGCCTGATGAGGGAAGAATCTGCAGATAGTATCATCATGGGACTCTTATTTTTGGCAGTCAGGCTGTGGTGGGGGTTTGTTTTAAGAGTTAAATGTCCAAAGTAAAAAAATTTACTACTGAAGGTGATTTATTGAGCTGTTAAAAGTCTGAATTTTCTTATTTTGCAACATGTACCCTGGCAATGAACGGATGGGAGGCTGAGTCTAACAGATGCATTATTTAATTCAGAGACCTGGCTCATGAGATGGGTCATCCCTGGGCCGAGTACTGGGGCTTTCTGGACTGTTTTGTGGACCTGTCCTCCCCTGAGGGGCTCCGTAAGCTGGAGGAGCACCTGAGCAAGAGGGATCTGAGTCACAGAGCTCATGAAGGAGCCGGACCAAATGGGACCAGCAATAGATTCAAAACACCGTCACCAGGTAAATCCTCTACAGAGGCGCGTGGATGACTCAAGAAATGACTGAAGAGTAAAACAGTGTTTAGTAAAAAGGCTACTTAAGCCATACAATATATAAAGTTAAAATGCAAATTCTGGTATTTCTGAGAATGTTAATAAAAAAGAAAATAAACATAAAACACAGTAATTATATATAAATTAAATGTATTTTATAGATATTTGTTAGAAAACATACAAACCAGGTTTGCAGTATGTTATTTAGGTCAGAATGAGGATAATTACTTACAGAGGGAATGTTCAAAACGACAAAGACCAACAAAAAGAAAATAGAATTAAAACTATGAAGCTTGAGCACAAAAAAAACTAACTGTTTTTTTTACATCTGTGCTGCATTAAAAAAAAAATCCTTTCATTAGAGAAGTCTAAAAATTGTACTTTAAAAAGCTACTTAAGCAACTGTAATTGAGTAAATGTACTGTAACTAGTTCTGAGTATTTAACACAGCATGTGGGATAAACTCCTTTGATTATTCTGTTTTTGGTTTTTTGTGGTCCCAGGTAAGCCCAAAAAATTCTGCAACTCAGTTTCAGTCGGCGCCTTCCTAGACGAAGGAGACGACATCAGCCTGGAGGAGATGAAGAACCGTCAGAACGCAGCACTGTCCAGTATCGCCTCCTCTGCCGCGTCCAAAGACGCCCTCAAGGGAGCTGTAGGCGGACGAGAGTTGCACATCGCTCTGCACCACCGCGGGGCGGACCTGATCGAGAACGCCGCGGAGCAGGACCTTCTGTGCTGCTGCAGCGACGGCCTCCTGTCACCTGGAGTTGTCTGCAAAAACAAAGTGTGCTCCTCCTTGAGGGAAAGGACTCACAACGGAGACAGGGTTTCCCCGCGCAGCTCGCCGTCCTCCTCCTGCAGCGCGCTGTCGCCCATCTCCAACCTGATGGTGGAGTTTGAGCGCATGTCGCTCCATGAGCCCACAGACGGTCTGACGGGCTCCCGGGAGAGGAGGAGCAGCGGGAAGAATCGACAGGACGTCCGGAAATCGTGCAGCTCCGTCTCGGCCTCAGACCTCAGCTCAGGGCTGAACCGCCTGTCGCTGCGCCAGGATGGCCGAGATCCAGAGGAGAGGAGCAGCAGCTCAGACGAATACGTTACGGCAGAGGAGAGTCCGGATTCGATGGGGAGGACTAGAGGGTCACTGCCAGGGGGGCGCAACTTCTGTGCAAGATCCAAGTCATGGGACCATGGAGGCAGGGACCTGAGCAGCTCTGGCTCCTCTGGCTCCTCTTATAAGTCTCTGGATAACTCCCAAGAGTTCTTACCCAGGACGCCTCCGCACTATAGAAGAGGACTTTTCATAGAGGGGTGAGTCACACTGGTTTCTGTACAGTTTGAAACATTGACATCAAAAGAAACAGGTCAAAGTCCAAATTATATAACCCACATTAATACTTTAAGGATGAGAATATTTTTTTCTGAATCTTAAGTCGAGTGTGATCCAAAGGTTGCTGATCCAGTTTTCCTTCCAGGCCGGATAGTAAACGACGGTGAATGAGGTTTTTGATACTAAGGTAGCGTGTTTCAACAGGGATTCCCCCACTAAACTGGACAGCGAGGTCCTGTCTGCGCTGCAGGACGCCGATATCGATCCACAGAAGTATCCCAGTGTACACAAGTGGAAGTGCACAATGAAGTCGTACTCTCCTTCGGACATGCAGAGGTCAGTGGGTCAGCTGGCATTTATGTTTTAACACGAGGAATCGTTTTGAACTTTTAGTCGCTGATGATTTCCGATCATTATGTTAGGCTACAGACCAGATTATAATCCTTTCATTTGTTCCCTTCGTCTCCATTTTTGGGTTGAACGTCTCTTTGGGGATGGTTTATATCAAACCGCTTCAAACCAGTTCTCACGATCCTAAAACTTTACTCTGGAAGATATTCAATACTTGTTACCATGGGAATAAAACCGCCAAAAAATTAAAGGCATGAAAACTCACCTTTTTCAGAATGAGAGGTTTTTTAGTTAAATAAATATACAAATACTCCAAGTATAACACAATATGTTTTAGTTTGCGATATTAGTCTTCTAATTTGCAAATAATCTAGAAATCTAAAATGAACAAAAGCAAAAATATACAAACACTTGTATTTAGTATGGATATTGTGCTAAATTAGTTTTGTATCCAAATACAGCGTTTAAGTTTGGATGCTTTTGACAAACCTGTTCTGCTGTTTGTTCACTAATATTGTGTGACGATCCTCTAAGGCAGGGTTCTGCAACCTTTTCAATTCAGACACTTTGCCATCATGGCTACAAAATACGATTTTTCAAAAGCCACAATAAAGATTTCTTGATATTTGAAAGCCTTTGAAAATGTCAATATTTAAGAGAAAATTTAACATTTACAAAAACACAAACTTTTGTCTTGTAGGATGAGGAAGGCAGAGTGAGCCACCTTAAATATGAGTAAATTATAATATTTAGCCCCCCTTAATGTATAAAAAACATTACATTACTTTTAAAGGCCTGCTGCTGTTCTGTTTTCATGCCATATCGGTACAGAAAATCTATAAGAGAATCTTTCTTATTGTCTTGATAAATGAAATAGTTTCTTTCCCAGTTTTGTTGGGGCCACACTAAAGGGGCCAAAGAGCCACAGGATGCAGACTCCTGCTCTGAGGCCTCCACTGTTCAGCTCGGTTTACGTTCATTTATAGGATTATGGACTCTGCTTGCTAATTCCATTGAAGGCATTTGTTTAGCATTGTATTTTATTTAGCTCTCTTATTTTGATAGATTTAGATTTATAACAATAATAAAATGCAGTACATTTCGGTTAAGTGTTCTTTCTACCTCTTTACAACTTTTGGTTTCAGTTTGTCACATCAATCTCCCAAAAATGCAGATTTTTGTGTTTGCAACATACCTTTGCCAAGCTCTGTATTTGTCTAATAAAGGTCTGGTTATTGTTGCCTTTTTAACAGCTGATTAATGCAGAAACATGTAACCTGTTTTTTTTTTTAGCTGGCCAAGCCCTGCAGTGAAACCCCGCCTCAGGATGCAGCCTCAGACCTCCATGTCCCCCAACAGCGGCTTGATGTCTCCCACCGGTCGCTTCAGTCCTGTCCGCCCTGCTGCCTCACCAGACTATAGCCCTAGCCGGTACAGCCCCGCCAACATTAGCTACATCCAGCGCCTCCGCTTCAAGCACCTGAGCGAGCCGTTATTCTAAACTGACCTCTCATGTGAATCGCTTCCTCTCCTCCACAAACACAGTTGACCCCGTTCCCCAAAAGCAGAGCTCAGAAACCCCAAACCTGACAGAAATATGCACAAATGTCTGGAAGATTTCTACTCCTGTTTGATTCTGTGTAAAACGACAGATCTCTCCACATAGGACTGTAAAAAAAACACACACAAAAAAAACATTTGTTATTGTACTGTATGGGTGTGGGTTATGTTGAATTCATGGAAAAGTGTTTGTGACGACTGTGAAACACCTCGACCATCCCTGGAGTCAACTTTTTTTATTTGAAATTCTCGCAAACCCAAGCCACACATCCCAAAGTTTAGCCGGTCACTAAAACCATAAAGCTGAATCCTCTGCAGGATTCTCTCACTGAAAAGATGTTGTGGGATATACTAAAACAAGTAAATTGTTAATATTTTAAATATTTTTTTGTATGTTGGTCAGTAGCACAAAAATAAAAGTTTTTATTAATGGTGTTTAAAAACTGCCATTTCCTGTTTTGTTCGTCAGTTCAGGAATCGCCTTAATTTTCTGAAGTGATGGATCCCCCCCCTCCCCTTCTTCTGTTGGTTTAGACAAACTTTAGCTCATACATCAAATGTATGATGGGATAAAAGGAAAATAAACTGAGATCTTCCATATTTCTAATGACCATCTGTACTCAGATGACGGCTTTTATTTGTCATCTTTTCCTGTAGTTCCTGGATGTCTTCTTTTCTTTGTCCCATTAAGGGCCGCCTTAAACAGTGCCATTTCCTTTGCCTCTTTTCTGATTCTGTTTGCAAGTCACAAGCATCTCCTTCCATGTGTAAAGAAACGTCTATTAGTCAAGTTTAATTAGAATTGCCTTGTTCTTAAACCTGAAATCATATTTAAACCAGAATGATGTTCTTTTTGTAATCACTAGAAGGCAGCATGACTCCAGAAGTAACCCCAACATGTCAAATAAGCAGAATCTGCCTTATTAGATGAGAGGTGCAACATATTAGCTGATTCCCACTATTTCTATCTCTAACGATGCAGAAACAGTTTGGACTTATTTATATAGCAAAATTCACAACACGTCACCTCCACGACTCCTTGGAATTTTTAAGAGTTTTATTTAACCAATTGGCTTTTTGCACCAGGCAACATAAATGTACTTCCGCATTCCTAGGTGTGATTTTGTTCACTTCCGGTGCCGTTCTGAGCAGTTTGAAAACAATGGCGCAGTTTCACACCTGTTGTCTTCAGGACCTGCCTAAAATGTCTATTAAGGACATTCTTCGCTTGATTCAGGCTTTAACATCCCACCACATAAAAAATGTGCAAGAATTTTAATGAATCGCACACCTGCGAAGAACCCAGCAACTCACCTGTGAGCGCAAAAAAAAACAAAATAATGTACATAATTTTTTTTGCATTATTTTGGTTGAAACGCTCACTTAACCTTGCATTCTACATCAAATATTATTATAGCTAAATACAGAATATAAAACAAACTTATTGTTATAGTGTCGAATTTGGTCATCTGAGCTGGCAGAGCGCTCCAGACAGAAACGCGTTGTGAGTTTCAGCCACTCTATTTGACTCCTAGCCAACTCTAGTTGTCTCTGCATGGACTTTCTTTTCGTAACTCGTTCGCCATTACCCCAGTTGCCTCTGAAACACAATCGTGGTCGGGGTTGCCCCACATCAGGGCACATCTAAAGGTCCTGCAGCACATCTCAAGCAGCAGGAGCAATACATCTTGATGCAGCTGAAGCTGAGCATCAGAGGCGCGTGACACACTTCATAAGCAGCAGCTGCTGAAGTTGGAAAATTGTAACTTTTGCTGCTCAGCACAACACATCAACCAATCAGAGAAGCTGATCTGGGAACTGGCAGGGAGACGGACACAATGCTGCTGATGCAGATTGCAATGATCCCTTCGCTAAAACTTTATTAATGGCTAAATTAACCTAAAATGTTGAAACCTGCCCGCAGAATGTGTTCGCTTTTAATATTCTGGTGACTGCAGTTTGTGCCAAGTACATGAAATGGCGAACTTCTACTTCCAGCCGCCATGAACAGAAGCGGAAACCCCCCAAAAAGCGATCCGGCCTGAGGCAGCCGCTGCTGGGGATTCTCAATGACGGCGGCCCACCCATATACGGCGGTCTGAGTGTCTCCGACAACGAAATAATATTTGAAGGCAGGATCGTAATCTTGATTAACTGACTGTAAAAATGATGATTTGACGTAGACTTTCTTGCATAAAAATATATTAAAACTATTTTTTACCGCCTTATCACAGCAAATATAGCAAAGCCACTCTCTGCCATTGAACACAGGAGGAGCACAAGCATATGACACATTTGTACAACTTGACAGGATGCGCTTCATGAGCATCAAAAATGAAGCAGCAGAATCTTTGCTGCTGCTGAAATCGGTTTGGTGTAAACGTAGCATAAGATACATGAGTTGTACTGTGAAGAACAAGTACATTTCGGTGCACAGCAGTGTAGTGATGATCCTCCAACCCATTGATAGGCCAATCTCTTTTTGTATACACCGAACAAATCAATTTTCTCTCTGCTTGATAGCTTTCTCTGACAGCATTCCAGGTTGACTGGCAGGACCGTGAAGCAACAGGAAGTCCCATGCATCACATTCTGTGACCGGAAGTTAGTGGCCGCCATATTGTGCACTTAGCCAATTTGTTTTCCAAGAGTCTTCTGCTTACAGTGGACTTGCGTGACTGTTTTTCAGAACCAGCTGAGTCAGTTTATTTGGATGAGGAAAGGAAAAAAATATCTTTAACTTCTGAATTGACACCTCAGCCTAGCTGAGAGCAACGTGTTCTGAATGTATTTTTCTAGCCGTTATCAAAGAGCACAATCCACGTCACTGAGAAGATTGTATCGTCACTCTCGTGCTCTTATTCTGGTCTCTGAATCTTAATGAATGTGGAACTTTGCAAAAAAACGCACCTAAAAGATTTCAACATGCTTCTTGTACTTTTTTGAAGTTTTTTTTCATGGTGATTTCTTTTTTCTGTATGTATAAACTTAATTTGCTTTTATCTAATCAATAAATCTTCACTCCCACCCTTCCTGCTGTTGTGTGATGGGACTTTGTTTTCCGGGGAATATTTCATTTCTGGCAAGGAAATCCGTGCCTCTATTGTTGTAGTAGCTAGTTGGTGCGTGTCATGGCGGCAACCCTTGTGGACAACAGCAGTGCGGGTAGCTGTCAAGCTGAAGGACTCCTTTCGGGCTTTATTGGCCCGATAGGAGTCTGATAGTGGGACACGGCAGTCAAAGTGGAAGGCGATGGATGGATATTTCGTTTAGGGGCCAGGAAAACGAGACAAAACCGAGCTGCTTGAAATAATTTATTTACCACAATACATTAAACATGTCTCACCTTTATCAAAATAGCTAAAGCTAACATGAAATGCATGGGCAGCTAGCCAGATAAATAGACCTTATTTTCTTTATTTTGGTTCAAAAATGAGTCACTTGTGTAAAATTCATGAATTACATTCAGCAGAAGTTGCAATGCAGCTGTTAATACTCTTGGCGATGGCATTTGATGCTTGATTTAGAAAATAATTCATAAAAAGTTGATTTTTCAAGACACTTGAGGAAAAAAAAAAAGTTTTAACCCTGAAACCCAAATTTTCATTAAAAAAAAATCTGCTTTACTCTGAGCCTTTAGGTCCGTGTTAGTTTGTCTGGAGGCATAAATCCTGCGTCTCCCAGAGTCCTGAGGGCCACCCTGCCACTGGGCCGGATGGTGAGCCAGGTGATGCTGCCGTTGTGTAAGCCCATACGCAGCCAGCCCTCAGGGGGGAACTGCAGCGCCCTGATTGGGAAGAGAGACGGCTGATTAAGAAGGGAAATGTACAGCTGCAGCTTTTAGATACGTTAATTCACAATATAACGTTTATCAGTGTTATTATTGTTTGAAGTAAACGTCTGAGGGCTGATCAACGGGTCTCATTCGACTGGGATATGGAAGAAAAACATATGAACCAGATTGATGCCAGAAAGCTGATTTCTCCTGACGTAAACTGATAGAAAACATGCAGGATTCTCTCATTAACATCTGTAAAAAATCTAATTTCTGATTTTTACAGTAGATGTGTTCTGAGTTTGTCACGCCACACAAAAATGTTTTATTAATCACTCATCTGAATTTGAATGATTAAAAACTAAAGCATAGAAAATTAGGTTTCCTCTGCTCTAAATTCTGGAGGGGATGACTGATATAGCTGCTGAAACCACGGCCCCACCCTGTTCTATTTCACTGCAAAAGTTTTAACAGGAAAATGTGTTAAATATAATATTTACATTTTAATTCAGGAGGGATCTGTGACTCATGTCGAACGGAGAAACAAGAGGAGAGTCGCTCACTGAATTGCAGACACATGCTGCAGCTGCTGCGTCTGAGTCCCTGTGTTTTAGAGGAAAGTCTCCAGCAAGACAGGAAAAACATGCTTGTTTTTTTTTTTTTTTTTTTTTTAAGTCCCTGGAGGGGTCTGAAAAGACCCTAATACAGCGACAAAGTATATTTACAGCATGTTCTTTTTTATACTGCTGGACCAGCAGGGGGCAGACCTCTGCAGGCAGCCACACTGTAGGCACACCCAAAAAATCCTGAAACAGGAATATTGGAACCCAAATTCAGTTCTGGTGCGAACTCAGTGCAATCATTAAAAAGACGCAAGAGTTTGAGAAAATTGGCAAATTGCCTTTATATGGTCTTAAAGTTCAGGTGAATATCTAAAGGACCAATCTTTAAACTATCCAACTTTGAGTATTAGTCTTCTTCCCTCAGCACAGGTTAGTAAAAGCTCTCCGTTTATTTTGATTCTAAAATAATCTGATTCAAATTAGATTTTTTTGTTTTTATAATGATTAAACCTTTGAAAGCATGAGACAAATGTATGAAATTGACAAAAAAAAGCAAAAAGCAGCAAAAGAAACAAAAAAAAAAAAGCAGCAAAACCAAACAGTGGTTTGAGTTGAGCCGCCGCCACCACAAACCTGCAGACAAAATAACGGATGACATTGGCATGACACACGATGATCTCATAGCTGTCCTCTTTCTGCTTGGGGTCAGCCCGGTGGATGTAGCGGCGGAAGGCTGCCTCAATGCGAGCTCCGTCTTCGTGGTACTGCTGGAGGACGGTAGAGAGGTTGAGAGCTACCTTTGACACATAAGGTGCAGACTGAAGCCCTCATTCGGGGCTAAATCGATACATGGTGCTGCTGTGCGCTGCCAGGAATGTATGAAGGGATTCATTTCAAAGAGGAACCAATTACAGCTGGGCTTTTATGGTAATAAGGTTTTATATCCAGAAAGCTAAACAATGTTGACGACCGCTCAAATTTTTTGCCCTTTTCTGGCCGACTCTCCAGTCGCGCAACAATTTTTTTCGATCAGGCCGACTTTCAGAATGATTGCTCGTCGTGTAATGCACAGGGGGTAAAGAAGGGTGATCAGCATCTCACGACCACATCACTATCAGGAATCAAAGATGGTTGAAATTCAGTCTGGAAGTAAGTAAGGCAGTAAGGTGATCGTGGGAAAATCGCTCAGTGGGCACGCTAAGGGTGTGCAAAATAATCGTTGCTTTCAGTTATGTATCAATTGAAGACACTATCCAGATCACACACAGCCAGTCAGCCACTGGTAATGGCTGGATTTCTTTCTAACGATGTTCAGTGCAAATATTGCAATGGATCGCGATGCATCGCAATATTTCAAGTATCATGATGCAGCGTTATAGAATCGCAACGTGGCATGTGAATCGTCATTCGAATGGAATCGTGACTTTATACCCACCCCTACAGCATGCCACGCAAGGGTTCTTCTTCTTCCGTAGTAGCTAAGTTTGCTCAGCCATTTCGCCTTTTCTTTTTAGGGCTTTCAGCACAAAATTGCAGAAATTACCAAGCTCACTCTAGTGAGCTTCATATTCCTCTTCTACTCGTTTGGCTTCCCGATAGACGAGTTCGAGTAGCACCGTCTCACTGCAGAGATTAGTCCGATTTGGTTTTTAGACGTACATTGTGAGCAGGTAGATCGAATCAGAACGTTCGGCCGCACACTGTGAGAATATGCATCGTGAGCTGTGAGCTTTTGAACCCTGTGGTTTGGTCGTACAGTGTGAGCTGTAGCTCCGTGTAACAATTGAAAATATTTCGCCGTGTATGCCCGACTTTACAACCTAAAACTCTGTATACATTTCTTTTTTTGAGGTTTTTAACGGCACTAGTGCCTGTTTTTTGGACAGTGGGCTGAAAGGACGAGAGAGGGAGAGAGACGTATGGCAAAGGATTCGAACCTGCGTCGGCCACATCGAGGACTAAAGCCTCCGTACATGGCTTATGTGTGCTAACCACTGCGCTAACGAAGCCCACCCCCCTATGCATTTCACTGGTTTTATATAAATAAACAGTCCAGCGCTAACCAGCAGATAACTGTGGTCAATAAGGTCCATTGATTTTTAAATTAGTTTTCATTTACATGCAGCAGAACCAAAAAAAAGAAAATAATGATAAAATACACACCAGTGACAAAGACTTAAAGAAGTCTAAACCAGGGTTTCTTAATCCTGGACCTCGGGGCCCGCTGTCCTTCATGTTTTAGGTATTTCCCTCCCTCCACACACCTGACCTGAATTAAAAGGTAATTAACGGGCTTTTGCAGCATTTGAGGGCCGTCAAAGAGGAAATGCAATCATTTGATTCGGACGTGCTTGAGTAGACACACATCTAAAATATGAAGGACAGTGGGCCCTGAGGTCCTGGATTAAGAACCACCTTCAGATTATTAAACTATATTCTTAGCCATAGGTTGTGGATGGAGCCCCAAGATACGGTGATCCACCTAAACGAGCTTTAATCAGGGAAAATGAGGCTGGTAAACACGGTGGTGGCAGCATTATGCTGGGGGAATGCTTTTACCCAGCAGATTGCGTAGCTTGTTCCCTCGAATACAGAAAAACGCTGGTTCAGATAGTTTTTTTTTTTACGCATGGAGGCGTTGAAACACCCAGACTCCTCATCATTAACCCTTTGGACGTTACCTCATTCCTGCAGCGGTGCACCAATGTATTGATCTACATGATAGCTGCTCACAAACAGGGAGCTCAACAAGGATGAACAGGCAGAAAAAAAGACTGATCAATGGCTGGAATCAGAGCTGGTTCACTCACCACAGCGTCGGGCTTCCAGTGGGTGACTGGTGGAACCGGTTCTATAGGGGCCCCCTCTCTCAGCAGGTCACAGCTCACCAGCTCCACACCTACGTTGGAGAAACGCTTTGGGGGTGAAAAACCCAAACACAGTCGTGTGTATTTCAAGGTTTCATCCTCTTAACTACCTGGGATGTGTTTGCTGATGATATGTGCGGTCTCAGTAGCCCTGGTCATGCTGGAGTGGATCAGAACGTCGTATTTCAAACCCAACGCCGCTAGCCTCTGACCCGTTAACTCCGCCTGCTCCCGGCCTGACGAACGAACAGAGGAGACGCATGTGAAAACATCTGAGTGGAAAAGCGGTCTTCAATCAAAGCAGCGGGTTGGGTTCAGACCTAAAGGTGTGAGGATCCGCTCCGTGTCGCCGTTTCCGCTCAGGTTGTACTGGGAATGCCTGATGAGCAGTATGTGGCGCGTTGCTTTGGGCTTGCTGTTGTCCTGCTCTGAGCTGGGGTCTTCAGTCACGCTCTCCTTCTTCCTCCTTCCGTTGGACAGCACAGATGGGTCTCTCCTGGTAAAACCATGATTTTAAGATTAGTTAAAGCTCAACTTAAAGGGCAAAAGAAAAAAACAACATAGTTGACCTAAGAACGATTGAAATGCACTTCAAGGAAAATCTCCTGATGCGACCCGACAAATCCTTAGACTAGACTCGGCTTAAACTGCTGGCCTTTAAATTGACTTATGTGTCGTCGACAATCCGTCCACAGGATTAACAGCCACACTAACCTCATTCCTGAATCATTTCGCCAGGGTTGAGGTTCTAGTGGTATGGTCCAAACTGACCCAGTGTCGTAACGTCTCTGATCCGGTATAGCAGGAAATCAGTGTTTATCGACTGAAAAGGTCAAACTGACCAAATGCCTGATAGATATTTCAGACGTTTCTGCTGAGACAAGGAAAATCCCCCTACTTGGGATCAATAACGCCGTCTTATGAGTAACTCTGGGGTTGCTGCCTAATGGTTGGGGCATAGAGCTTGGAATCCTGAGGTTGTGAGTTTGAAACCCACTCCCACAGACTGCCACTCTGAGTCTCTGAGCAAGACCCTTAACCCCTGATTGCTCCCCGTGTCGCTGCACAATGGCCGCCCACTGCTCCCCAAGGGGATGGGTTAAATGCAGTTCTCCATTGTGTGATCAATAAAGTTCAATTTATTTTATTTATTTTCATTATGTTAAACAGCAAACTATTGTAAAGCAGCTGAATGCTGGCTGGCAACCCCAACAAAGACCCTGACTGATAATCTAATATCAATCTATTATAATCACAGGGTTATTCTACTTAATTAAAAAAGAGATTAACAAACATGTAAAATTGGAATTTATACTCAAATGTTTGAATGTTTTATGCAAATTTGAATAAAGCCTATTAGCTCATGTTAAGTGATCCTAATCTGATATCTTTGTGTAAAAGCTTTGCTAGATTGAAACTGTGTCATCTTTACCCAGTAAAGTAAAGAGAAAGAAGTATATAAAGTTTACTGATTTATATATCAGTCTCAATTTCACTTTCAGTCCTCCGAGGGCTCTTTAGGGGCCAAATTCCCAAATCACCAGAGCAGCCATTAGACTTTAGCTGAAATCCAGTCACATTTCACACATTATACTGAAAGACAGTGGCGTAACCACACAACAACCGGCCCATGAGCAACATTATCTGGCTGGGCCCCATACAGTTCCATACATCAGCCTAGAAGATACAATTATGCAATTAAGTAGTATTTGATCACACATCACACCTGGAAAAATAGTTCCAAAAAATAACTTCAGGGAGATGCTTATCTACGCTTATCTACGCTCTGGATTACCCATAATTCCAAGCTGTAGCATAAAAAATAAAATACCCAAATACATTGCTCTGTTAAGATCTTTATTGCGGTTTGAAACATATTATAAGAGTGTATTTTTTNTAGACTTTCTTGCATAAAAATATATTAAAACTATTTTTTACCGCCTTATCACAGCAAATATAGCAAAGCCACTCTCTGCCATTGAACACAGCAGGAGCACAAGCATATGACACACTTGTACAACTTGACAGGATGCGCTTCATGAGCATCAAAAATGAAGCAGCAGAATCTTTGCTGCTGCTGAAATCGGTTTGGTGTAAACGTAGCATAAGATACATGAATTGTACTGTGAAGAACAAGTACATTTCCGTGCACAACAGTGTAGTGATGATCCTCCAACCCATTGATAGGCCAATCTCTTTTTGTATACACCGAACAAATCAATTTTCTCTCTGCTTGATAGCTTTCTCTGACAGCATTCCAGGTTGACTGGCAGGACCGTGAAGCAACAGGAAGTCCCATGCATCACATTCTGTGACCGGAAGTTAGTGGCCGCCATATTGTGCACTTAGCCAATTTGTTTTCCAAGAGTCTTCTGCTTACAGTGGACTTGCGTGACTGTTTTTCAGAACCAGCTGAGTCAGTTTATTTGGATGAGGAAAGGAAAAAAATATCTTTAACTTCTGAATTGACACCTCAGCCTAGCTGAGAGCAACGTGTTCTGAATGTATTTTTCTAGCCGTTATCAAAGAGCACAATCCACGTCACTGAGAAGATTGTATCGTCACTCTCGTGCTCTTATTCTGGTCTCTGAATCTTAATGAATGTGGAACTTTGCAAAAAAACGCACCTAAAAGATTTCAACATGCTTCTTGTACTTTTTTGAAGTTTTTTTTCATGGTGATTTCTTTTTTCTGTATGTATAAACTTAATTTGCTTTTATCTAATCAATAAATCTTCACTCCCACCCTTCCTGCTGTTGTGTGATGGGACTTTGTTTTCCGGGGAATATTTCATTTCTGGCAAGGAAATCCGTGCCTCTATTGTTGTAGTAGTTAGTTGGTGCGTGTCATGGCGGCAACCCTCGTGGACAACAGCAGTGCGGGTAGCTGTCAAGCTGAAGGACTCCTTTCAGGCTTTATTGGCCCGATAGGAGTCCGATAGTGGGACACGGCAGTCAAAGTGGAAGGCGATGGATGGATATTTCGTTTCTGGCCAGGAAAACGAGACAAAACCGAGCTGCTTGAAATAATTTATTTACCACAATACATTAAACATGTCTCACCTTTATCAAAATAGCTAAAGCTAACATGAAATGCATGGGCAGCTAGCCAGATAAATAGACCTTATTTTCTTTATTTTGGTTCAAAAATGAGTCACTTGTGTAAAATTCATGAATTACATTCAGCAGAAGTTGCAATGCAGCTGTTAATACTCTTGGCGATGGCATTTGATGCTTGATTTAGAAAATAATTCATAAAAAGTTGATTTTTCAAGACACTTGAGGAAAAAAAAAAAGTTTTAACCCTGAAACCCAAATTTTCATTAAAAAAAAATCTGCTTTACTCTGAGCCTTTAGGTCCGTGTTAGTTTGTCTGGAGGCATAAATCCTGCGTCTCCCAGAGTCCTGAGGGCCACCCTGCCACTGGGCCGGATGGTGAGCCAGGTGATGCTGCCGTTGTGTAAGCCCATACGCAGCCAGCCCTCAGGGGGGAACTGCAGCGCCCTGATTGGGAAGAGAGACGGCTGATTAAGAAGGGAAATGTACAGCTGCAGCTTTTAGATACGTTAATTCACAATATAACGTTTATCAGTGTTATTATTGTTTGAAGTAAACGTCTGAGGGCTGATCAACGGGTCTCATTCGACTGGGATATGGAAGAAAAACATATGAACCAGATTGATGCCAGAAAGCTGATTTCTCCTGACGTAAACTGATAGAAAACATGCAGGATTCTCTCATTAACATCTGTAAAAAATCTAATTTCTGATTTTTACAGTAGATGTGTTCTGAGTTTGTCACGCCACACAAAAATGTTTTATTAATCACTCATCTGAATTTGAATGATTAAAAACTAAAGCATAGAAAATTAGGTTTTCTCTGCTCTAAATTCTGGAGGGGATGACTGATATAGCTGCTGAAACCACGGCCCCACCCTGTTCTATTTCACTGCAAAAGTTTTAACAGGAAAATGTGTTAAATATAATATTTACATTTTAATTCAGGAGGGATCTGTGACTCATGTCGAACGGAGAAACAAGAGGAGAGTCGCTCACTGAATTGCAGACACATGCTGCAGCTGCTGCGTCTGAGTCCCTGTGTTTTAGAGGAAAGTCTCCAGCAAGACAGGAAAAACATGCTTGTTTTTTTTTTTTTTTTTTTTTTAAGTCCCTGGAGGGGTCTGAAAAGACCCTAATACAGCGACAAAGTATATTTACAGCATGTTCTTTTTTATACTGCTGGACCAGCAGGGGGCAGACCTCTGCAGGCAGCCACACTGTAGGCACACCCAAAAAATCCTGAAACAGGAATATTGGAACCCAAATTCAGTTCTGGTGCGAACTCAGTGCAATCATTAAAAAGACGCAAGAGTTTGAGAAAATTGGCAAATTGCCTTTATATGGTCTTAAAGTTCAGGTGAATATCTAAAGGACCAATCTTTAAACTATCCAACTTTGAGTATTAGTCTTCTTCCCTCAGCACAGGTTAGTAAAAGCTCTCCGTTTATTTTGATTCTAAAATAATCTGATTCAAATTAGATTTTTTTGTTTTTATAATGATTAAACCTTTGAAAGCATGAGACAAATGTATGAAATTGACAAAAAAAAGCAAAAAGCAGCAAAAGAAACAAAAAAAAAAAGCAGCAAAACCAAACAGTGGTTTGAGTTGAGCCGCCGCCACCACAAACCTGCAGACAAAATAACGGATGACATTGGCATGACACACGATGATCTCATAGCTGTCCTCTTTCTGCTTGGGGTCAGCCCGGTGGATGTAGCGGCGGAAGGCTGCCTCAATGCGAGCTCCGTCTTCGTGGTACTGCTGGAGGACGGTAGAGAGGTTGAGAGCTACCTTTGACACATAAGGTGCAGACTGAAGCCCTCATTCGGGGCTAAATCAATACATGGTGCTGCTGTGCGCTGCCAGGAATGTATGAAGGGATTCATTTCAAAGAGGAACCAATTACAGCTGGGCTTTTATGGTAATAAGGTTTTATATCCAGAAAGCTAAACAATGTTGACGACCGCTCAAATTTTTTGCCCTTTTCTGGCCGACTCTCCAGTCGCGCAACAATTTCTTTCGATCAGGCCGACTTTCAGAATGATTGCTCGTCGTGTAATGCACAGGGGGGTAAAGAAGGGTGATCAGCATCTCACGACCACATCACTATCAGGAATCAAAGATGGTTGAAATTCAGTCTGGAAGTAAGTGAGGCAGTAAGGTGATCGTGGGAAAATCGCTCAGTGGGCACGCTAAGGGTGTGCAAAATAATCGTTGCTTTCAGTTATGTATCAATTGAAGACACTATCCAGATCACACACAGCCAGTCAGCCACTGGTAATGGCTGGATTTCTTTCTAACGATGTTCAGTGCAAATATTGCAATGGATCGCGATGCATCGCAATATTTCAAGTATCATGATGCAGCGTTATAGAATCGCAACGTGGCATGTGAATCGTCATTCGAATGGAATCGTGACTTTATACCCACCCCTACAGCATGCCACGCAAGGGTTCTTCTTCTTCCGTAGTAGCTAAGTTTGCTCAGCCATTTCGCCTTTTCTTTTTAGGGCTTTCAGCACAAAATTGCAGAAATTACCAAGCTCACTCTAGTGAGCTTCATATTCCTCTTCTACTCGTTTGGCTTCCCGATAGACGAGTTCGAGTAGCACCGTCTCACTGCAGAGATTAGTCCGATTTGGTTTTTAGACGTACATTGTGAGCAGGTAGATCGAATCAGAACATTCGGCCACACACTGTGAGAATATGCATCGTGAGCTGTGAGCTTTTGAACCCTGTGGTTTGGTCGTACAGTGTGAGCTGTAGCTCCGTGTAACGATTGAAAATATTTCGCCGTGTATGCCCGACTTTACAACCTAAAACTCTGTATACATTTCTTTTTTTGAGGTTTTTACGGCACTAGTGGCTGTTTTTTGGACAGTGGGCTGAAAGGAAGGGGGGACGAGAGAGGGAGAGAGACGTATGGCAAAGGATTCGAACCTGCGTCGGCCACATCGAGGACTAAAGCCTCCGTACATGGCTTATGTGTGCTAACCACTGCGCTAACGAAGCCCACCCCCCTATGCATTTCACTGGTTTTATATAAATAAACAGTCCAGCGCTAACCAGCAGATTGTGGTCAATAAGGTCCATTGATTTTTAAATTAGTTTTCATTTACATGCAGCAGAACCAAAAAAAAGAAAATAATGATAAAATACACACCAGTGACAAAGACTTAAAGAAGTCTAAACCAGGGTTTCTTAATCCTGGACCTCGGGGCCCGCTGTCCTTCATGTTTTAGGTATTTCCCTCCCTCCACACACCTGACCTGAATTAAAAGGTAATTAACGGGCTTTTGCAGCATTTGAGGGCCGTCAAAGAGGAAATGCAATCATTTGATTCGGACGTGCTTGAGTAGACACACATCTAAAATATGAAGGACAGTGGGCCCTGAGGTCCTGGATTAAGAACCACCTTCAGATTATTAAACTATATTCTTAGCCATAGGTTGTGGATGGAGCCCCAAGATACGGTGGTCCACCTAAACGAGCTTTAATCAGGGAAAATGAGACTGGTAAACACAGTGGTGGCAGCATTATGCTGGGGGAATGCTTTTACCCAGCAGATTGCGTAGCTTGTTCCCTCGAATACAGAAAAACGCTGGTTCAGATAGTTTTTTTTTTTACGCATGGAGGCGTTGAAACACCCAGACTCCTCATCATTAACCCTTTGGACGTTACCTCATTCCTGCAGCGGTGCACCAATGTATTGATCTACATGATAGCTGCTCACAAACAGGGAGCTCAACAAGGATGAACAGGCAGAAAAAAAGACTGATCAATGGCTGGAATCAGAGCTGGTTCACTCACCACAGCGTCGGGCTTCCAGTGGGTGACTGGTGGAACCGGTTCTATAGGGGCCCCCTCTCTCAGCAGGTCACAGCTCACCAGCTCCACACCTACGTTGGAGAAACGCTTTGGGGGTGAAAAACCCAAACACAGTCGTGTGTATTTCAAGGTTTCATCCTCTTAACTACCTGGGATGTGTTTGCTGATGATATGTGCGGTCTCAGTAGCCCTGGTCATGCTGGAGTGGATAAGAACGTCGTATTTCAAACCCAACGCCGCTAGCCTCTGACCCGTTAACTCCGCCTGCTCCCGGCCTGACGAACGAACAGAGGAGACGCATGTGAAAACATCTGAGTGGAAAAGCGGTCTTCAATCGAAGCAGCGGGTTGGGTTCAGACCTAAAGGTGTGAGGATCCGCTCCGTGTCGCCGTTTCCGCTCAGGTTGTACTGGGAATGCCTGATGAGCAGTATGTGGCGCGTTGCTTTGGGCTTGCTGTTGTCCTGCTCTGAGCTGGGGTCTTCAGTCACGCTCTCCTTCTTCCTCCTTCCGTTGGACAGCACAGATGGGTCTCTCCTGGTAAAACCATGATTTTAAGATTAGTTAAAGCTCAACTTAAAGGGCAAAAGAAAAAAACAACATAGTTGACCTAAGAACGATTGAAATGCACTTCAAGGAAAATCTCCTGATGCGACCCGACAAATCCTTAGACTAGACTCGGCTTAAACTGCTGGCCTTTAAATTGACTTATGTGTCGTCGACAATCCGTCCACAGGATTAACAGCCACACTAACCTCATTCCTGAATCATTTCGCCAGGGTTGAGGTTCTAGTGGTATGGTCCAAACTGACCCAGTGTCGTAACGTCTCTGATCCGGTATAGCAGGAAATCAGTGTTTATCGACTGAAAAGGTCAAACTGACCAAATGCCTGATAGATATTTCAGACGTTTCTGCTGAGACAAGGAAAATCCCCCTACTTGGGATCAATAACGCCGTCTTATGAGTAACTCTGGGGTTGCTGCCTAATGGTTAGGGCATAGAGCTTGGAATCCTGAGGTTGTGAGTTTGAAACCCACTCCCACAGACTGCCACTCTGAGTCTCTGAGCAAGACCCTTAACCCCTGATTGCTCCCCGTGTCGCTGCACAATGGCCGCCCACTGCTCCCCAAGGGGATGGGTTAAATGCAGTTCTCCATTGTGAGATCAATAAAGTTCAATTTATTTTATTTATTTTCATTATGTTAAACAGCAAACTATTGTAAAGCAGCTGAATGCTGGCTGGCAACCCCAACAAAGACCCTGACTGATAATCTAATATCAATCTATTATAATCACAGGGTTATTCTACTTAATTAAAAAAGAGATTAACAAACATGTAAAATTGGAATTTATACTCAAATGTTTGAATGTTTTATGCAAATTTGAATAAAGCCTATTAGCTCATGTTAAGTGATCCTAATCTGATATCTTTGTGTAAAAGCTTTGCTAGATTGAAACTGTGTCATCTTTACCCAGTATTACTATAAAAAGAGAATGAAGTATATAAAGTTTACTGATTTATATATCAGTCTCAATTTCATTTTCAGTCCTCCGAGGGCTCTTTAGGGGCCAAATTCCCAAATCACCAGAGCAGCCATTAGACTTTAGCTGAAATCCAGTCACATTTCACACATTATACTGAAAGACAGTGGCGTAACCACACAACAACCGGCCCATGAGCAACATTATCTGGCTGGGCCCCATACAGTTCCATACATCAGCCTAGAAGATACAATTATGCAATTAAGTAGTATTTGATCACACATCACACCTGGAAAAATAGTTCCAAAAAATAACTTCAGGGAGATGCTTATCTAAGCTTATCTACGCTCTGGATTACCCATAATTCCAAGCTGTAGCATAAAAAATAAAATACCCAAATACATTGCTCTGTTAAGATCTTTATTGCGGTTTGAAACATATTATAAGAGTGTATTTTTTTACCAACCGTCTAATGAACTATACTATACTATTTAATTACTATTAACATAATAATTGAAAGTACCACTGTATATTGCCGGCTCACCGTCATGTAGAAATCTGCCATGCGTTGGGGTATAAATACAGTCCGCTGCAGTCAGTCAGTCAAAGTTCAGGTGGGTTTAAAAGGATTTTTTTTCGCACCTTTACGTCTACAAAGAGACGTCCTGGTCTAAAATTGTGTAGGGGGCCAACCAGGTGTCAGTGATAAGCAACTTCTGGCTATGGCAAGCCGTTTTAACATAAATTCGGTTGTACCACCTTTACGTTCAAGATATCTCAAATTGTTTTATGACTAGACGTCTTAGCGATTTAAGATATCTCTAATTATATTTTGACTAGTCGAAATGACGGCAGATTTACCATTAACTTGTATGGAGACGTCAATTTAAGATATCTACAATGAATTACAGACTAACTGAAATACACATTTCAGATATCTACGATTCAGTTACGACTAGTGATAAAGTAATTTCAAGATATCTTGATTTTAGTTTTGACTAGTTATTTTTCTAATTAAAGATATCTCAAATGCCACCATTATTCATGATATCTTAAATGTATTTTAGGAAAGGAGATATGCAGTTTTGACTAGTGAAAACTCAATTATAGATATCTTAAAAGCAAATAATGACTAGACAAAACAAATTTAAAGATATCTTGAACTATTCAGCTTTTCCATTAAAGATATCTTAAATTGACATTCTGACTAGTCAAAATGCTTTTTAATGGGCTTCCAGGAGGATCATTCCTAAAAAAATTGCTTACTGTCAGTTTAATCCAAAGGAGGAAAAGTTAAATCAGCGTGTGATGCTTTCAGTGACAAATCCGGTGTCGTAATTTGAGCTATCTTGAAAGGAATTTTAACTAGGAAAAAATGTAATTTAAGATATCTTGAATTATTATTCTTCCTAATCATAATGTAAATACAGATATCTTAAATTACGATTCTTGAAAGTCAAAATGTGGTTTTGTCTAGTCAAAATGTATTTTAAGACATCTGGAACGTAATTATGGATGTCAGACGAAACCGAAACCGAATTTATGTTAAAAAGGCTTGCCATATTGCTGCCTATGGATATGTACGCCATTGCTGAAAAATGTTCGATAATGTGTAAATGAACCTACTTGTCCCAGTTGGAGTCCCAGCCTGGTCCGGTCGGGGTTGGCGTGTGGCTGCCAGGGCTCCAGCCTGGCTGCGCTGCGTAAAGGACGGCCAAACCGGACCACCGGCTCGCTCCGCTCCCACGGTTCTCCCCGAAGTAGCCGCGGGAATCGGCGGCCGCAGCCGCGAACACGAGCGCAGCAGATCCCCCGGCGAAGCCGCAAATAAGTTTCAAAGTTCTCCTGTACGACATCCTGCGGAGCCGATCAGGCCGAAAGAGATGCGCTAATTAGCTGAGCTCTAAATAGGACACGACGCTATTTATGCTCCGCGTTTCTACAGCTAAGAGGCGTTTAGGTGTTCGCATAAACTCCAGCGGTGTCAATCAAAGCATTCGCTGTCTCACTGATATAAAACACAAGGTTATCTGATTTGAAAAAGTATGCGAATGTGAAGAGAAGCTAATAAAGAGAGGTGCCTACAAACAGTACGGTGGCCCGTGTGGGTCAATTCAGGTTTGTTTCCGCTATTTTTCTGGAGACTTTGCGCTTTTCCACTAGAGGGCGCTCTAATGCAAATATCAGATGTTAGAGCAACTTGACAGAGAATAATGACAGGGCCTTAACTTTAAAGAAGTTTTATTCTACTGTTTCCTCTAAATAAAAATTATTATTATCACATCACAATCACTTGATACGACACATTAAATTAAGGTTTGCTGACAAACCGGGTAGAGGTGATGAAACGGAGTAGGAGGAGTTATTTTCTCAGGAGGTGTGTTTCTACCTAGGGAACAAGGTCAAAGGTCAAAAGCAACCTGTCATATCTGAAATTATTATTGTCTGAAACGTAAATGTTCAATAACCGTCAATTATTTATTTTTATCTCTTATCACCTTAGTTCAGAACCTTTAATCTTCATATTTCTGCATGGCCGGGAAACAAAGGTTGAATTTCAGGGAGTTTGTGTTGTTTTTGGGATTTTTATTGCACTTTTGTTTTGTATGGTGAGGGATCAGCAAATGCATTTTTCTAGCTGTAGAATATGCTCAAAATTTAGGTTACTAATAGAAATGTGCAAAACCAATGGATTCTGTTTGGGCTGTAAATTGAACCAAGGCGACAGTTGAGACTTTCAGATTAAATCACTAAATAATAAACACTCTCTCACAGGAGTAACTTTGTGAAGGACTGGTGTGGACATGTCCCCACCAATAATTTCTACTTTTTTCCCCTCTTTCCGCTTATTTACTTTAGACAAAGATAACAGGGGTTGGGTTCAGCTAATAGTAAAACTTAGGAAATGGGTTGTTTAAAAATTAAGTTCAGTTTATTTCTATAGCACCAATTCATAACACATGTCATCTGAAGGCACTTTACAGTTCACCAGATCTTCCAGTCAAATTGATTCAAAGTTTTCTGTCTAAGGAAAACCAGCTGATTGTGTCTGCTCATTGACTTGAATACAATCCCTCACACTAAGCATGCTTGTAGCGACAGTGGAGAGGAAAAACTCCCTTATAACAGGAAGAAACCTCCAGCAGAACCAGGCTCAGTGTGAGCGGCCAGACGAGCTCCGAGCCAACTCCCATGTCAGAGGATGAAGAGAGCACATCCAGAGTTTGTTTGACATACAGACCTCTTTCAGCTAAAAAATGGCAATAAATTTAAGTTTATACCAGTTAGTATTATAATGCAGGAAAATTGAGAAAACATAATTTGTTCTTCTTTACTAGTTAAAAAAGCTTGACTTCTCAGAGGACCATGACTCCCAGTTACAGGTTAAAAAAATCACACTCCAGAGCTTCTACGTATTTTGAAATTTTTATTTTCTGGCATCCTTATGTTAGTAAAAAGGTTCGTAAATCTTTTAAAACAGCACAGGGAGAAGTAGGGAGAGCTGAGATTTAAAGGGGAAAACAATTTACTGGGATATGCAACATAAAATAAAATATATCTCCAACTTTACAAGAAAAAAATATGCTATGCTATGTTTAAAATGAAGCATATCCATATTTTCCTGGATGGATGGAATTGAAATTGTACTTCTACGGTTGCATGATATATAGATTTTGGCATTGGAATTGGCTGCTATTCATTATTTTTTTTATACATTAATGTATTTGGGCCCTATACGTATATGTAATGCACTAAAAGACATCTCTCTAACTATCTAGAAATATAAATATTAGTGTAATATAGTTATCTTGTGTTCTCAACAATAGGAAAGCATTCAATAGAGATATGTCTGAGCTCATTTTTGGAAAATACAAATTTTTATTTTTTTATTTTTACCAAAGCATATCTTGTGTGTAATTATCCCTGAACAAAGGAACAAGGAAGGTTAACAGTAAGTAAAAAAAAAAAAAGAATGTCTTAAAATTATGTAATTAATTAATGGCATACATAAAGAATCTTAACTCGGTTGTGTTGAACAATGAGCTTTAATAGTTTATGATATAAAAAACGAACACAAATCAATACATTTATCCTATAAATGCCTGTTTTGTAAGTGAAATTCAAATATGTTCTGAAGAAAAAGAATAAATAAAACAAAAAATGCAATTATTTCTTATTGTTTTTATTTTTTTTATATGTTATTTTTATTTCATTTATTTATTACGATTTATTTTCATTTTGCATCACCACAGTAAAAACTACGACATGTTCAGTGTAAATCAATGAAATCAAATACATCCCAGTTATCCTGATTCCTGCCCAGCTGATCGCTCCACCTGGGGTACCGGTCGTCTCGCCAGATTACAAATGGAGCGTACCCACTATAAATAAGACATTTAACAGACGGAACTCAGCGCAAACGCTGATTGGCCTTTAAAAGTTTATGCAAACTGAAAAATAACTAAGAAATAACGAATGTCCTAAAGTCTTTGTGGAGTTTGGTGTGAATGAACATATTATAAACCCTCCAGTAGATTAAATAGCAATACTAATTGCCGGTGGGAGGCAATTTATCAGTGAAAATCACGGTTCTTCTCTCTCATCATTTTCTGATGCTTTTAGAGCGAAGCTCCACCTTTCCGAGCGGTTCTGTGACCTCACAGTGGGCAGGATTGGAAGGGTGGGATTTCTCCGTGGATTCCTGCCTATGAACGTCGTGGACCGATGCGGCTTCACCCACAGCAGAGAAGGAGCGCGTTTTTCCCACTCAGAGCCACGGAAAACGGCCCGCATAGCCACCCACTCCACGCAGGACGCTCCTTTTCTACATCCGCGCCTCCGACCGGAATAAATAACAGAGGAATGTGGAGAATACAGAATGCCCCACAGCGCTGGAAAGAGATTTAAAGCCACCAAATACATCCCGGTGTCCACCGCTGCCACGCTCCTGGTGGGAGCCACCACTTTATTTTTCGTTTTCACGTAAGTTTGAAACGCTTCATGTACTCGACCTGTGTGTGTCTGGATTGTGCGCCCATTCACGAGTGGGGCCGCGGTGGCTGCAGGTTTGGTCCACTGCTGTGGGAGGAGTGGGAGAATATCCACCGGTGGACAGCAGGTCTGCAGCTATGGTGCATTATTTATCAAAGAGGGAAACTTTCTGCTCATCTGGTATAATTAAGGTCGCTGCAGTGTCCTTGATGGATGTTTGATGAGATGAGATGTTTTTCTAAGGATCAAAGTTAGGAGAATGATGTGTGCCTGTAGAGGCGCTCCATTCATTAAAGCTGACCTGGGCGACCTGGGCCCCCTCTCTCTGCTCCCTACAGCCAGGCTCAGACTGGGAATGGTTTTCTGCATTTTTCCATCTACACCGGCCCACTAAAGCCAGGCATACACTGTGCATGCAGGTACAGCTGAGTCTGTAGTCACTGTATGACGAAACCGCAGGGTTTCGACAGTGTGAGTTCACAGCTCACGATGTATGTGCAGCACGACGCTCTCATGCGATCTATCTGCTCACACTGTACGACTAAAAAACCACGTCGGAATCAGCTCCGCAGTGAGATGGAGCTGCTCTGACTCGTCTATCCAGAAGCCAAACAAATACAAGAGGAATATGAAGCTCACTAGAGTGAAACCCACTGCCTTGGCAATTTGTGCAATTTTGTACGGAAAGCCCAAAAAAGAAAATGTGACGAAGTCCTGGCTGAGCAAACGTGGCTACTATGGTCTTTCAATTTAACAGAAAGAACTCCATTTGACTCGTACCCCCGCCATGCTTCTGTGTTTACATCTGAGAGGAAGAAGAAGAATCCTTGTTTGCGCACTAAGCAATTTGCCCACGATGGTCGGGAGAAAATCAGACATGTCGTCTAGAATGAATCCATGAAAGCTCAGCGGTGTGTAAACATTCAATGTGAGGCTAGGTCAATGTGCTCGTCAACAATGCATGTAAGACAGGAAACGTTAACCGTTAACCATCATGCACCACAACATGTTTTTGAAAAATATTCAAACATAAATTCGCCAAATATAAGAGGAACATCATTGTTTGGTTTAAAGAGAGCGTTTTAGTTTGTTGCAAGGATTTTACAGTTTGAAGAAATAGAAAGTTACACCATATGCCAACCGTCACAGGGATGTCCATGACAAGGAAGGGCTATATATCCTGCATGCATCGTCTAGGTAGTTATCATTGTATTACTTCTTCAGCTCCTTGAGTTATTTACTGTCACAGGTAGAGGGAGAATAATTGTTGGGGCCGGTATGGTTTAAGGAGGGCCGGCCCTCACACGCTGAAATTAGGACCGGCCCACCGGGCAGTTGCCCGCTATCACAGATTACCAGTCCATGCCTGCCTACAGCTTAGTTTATTATCTCTGGATTCAGAAGTAGGATGTCCATCCACAGCTAGACCAACCCATGGAGTAGAGACTCAACATGAGCGTTTGAATGCTGCTCATGTGAAAAGTAGGAGAAAGTTGGTGCTGTAGTAGAGTCCTGCACAGGTTCAGGTACCTGTATAAAATGTACATCTACAGGTAGAAAAAACCCATATTATTTCACGGGTGCGGGTAAAAATAAACATAAGTCGGGTATCATAGAGTTACAGCATGAATGAAACTTATTTATATTCCTCATTATATTTCTCATATTGAAGAATATCCAGATAACAGTATTTATTTACAGGCGCTCAATGGATGTGAGCATGAGGCAATGTTCTTTCTTATTATATATGGCTGATCATGTGATCATGGGTCGTGGTCGCACTTTATTATTTACGGCCGGGTTTACAATGGGGATAATTGCTGGTAACAGGTCCGGTCTTGGTTCTGAACTCTATGGATGCGGGCGGATACAGTTCTGAAAATCAGACCCCTGCAGGACTCTGGGCCGTAGGACCTCTCATTGTTTGTGCATCATTAAACCAGAGGTGTTGTAGTTCTCTGCAGCCGCAGTAATAATTTACTCAGCAGCAACTTAAATTCAAATCTACTTTGATTGACAACTACATAATAGTTCAAATTTTCTCAACTCTGCAGGATGCATTTTTTCATACAGTGTGCATGCATTGTGCACCAAATGGCAGATATGTTGTAAAAAAAAAACTCAGGCCTCTTCCACTTATGATGGAAGGCAACTCTGGGCGGCCATTGATTATTCGAAGCATCTTTTACATTGTAAATAAGGGTTCTTCTGGTTTAAAAAAAAAGAAAAATAAGTTTATCCTAACAGGTCATTTAAAGACCCCACTTAGAGCTTTGCTCCAAACTCTTCCACCTGAGCAACCAGGAGGTCAGTGATGTGAAGGCTGCACCAAGCTGACAGCAGAGAGTCTGAATTGCAGTGAAATCCAAAACCTGGTCTATTTTATATGCGCTGTGTACCCCAGGGGGGGCGGAAAATTGTTCTCCAATGAAGGTCTACCTTAGATCTATATGCAAGAGAAATAAAGCTGCTGTTTCTGTTTCTGGGTAGCATGTTCAGGTAATGCAGGAGCAATTCTCTGCTGCTCCCAGGGTGCTTCTCTGTTACAACTCAGTTTAATGGATGAGACTGAAGGAAATGTGTTGTACTTGTGTTTGACTTCTAGGTAGGATTGTCTCTTTAAAAATCCCTGCACTCTTTGGTGTGCTGCTTGTGGCTTTGCATACACAAATGGCTTGTTTTACAGGTCTCCAGAAAGAAGGAGTGCTTTTTGGTTTAATCAGCCATAGAGTCACACTGGTAAGGAATATTTGCAAGCATTTGCCTTTCACAAACTCATTGTTATTTGGTTTGGTTCCTTTATTTTAAAGATGCACCCTAGACCAGATGGTTGAAGGTTTAGGATTAAGACTTCACTAATTTGCTCCCTTATTTCTGTGTAAAAGGCCTCATGCTTCTAGTAACAGGCAGCCAGGAGGTTCTATTAAGCCTCACAAGGTCTATTATTGCTTAGTTCTAGCAGCATCAGAAAGAGCTGCAAGGTTGAGAGTAGCAGCATGTCTTTATCTAAAATCTCTGGACCAAAATAACGCACATCGAGTGCAAAAGTTGGAGCGCTGCATGTCACATGGCAAACAGAGGGGCAGTAGAGATCATTTCTATTTTTATTATTCACCGTAGGGTTGGTGAGTTTAGTTGGAAGTGATGCTTTTGTAATTTAGGTCAATTTAATAGGCTTCCCCGCAGCATAAGGCTGCCATCACCATGCTTTACCCATAGGGCAGTGTTTTGAGTTGACACAAAAATGTCTTTGTTTTGAATTCTATTTTTCTGCATAAAAGAACAAAGAAAAGCGTCAACTTCTTGGATGTTTTATACATTTAGAAATTAGACTTTTAAAAACCTTAACACAATTATTTTTCAGTTGTATTTATTTTTTATGTATTTTTCTCAGATTAAGTTATATGAACTACATTCTTTTCAAATTGCGGTTTACAGGTCACATGTTTCTTCAAACCAATGTTCTTGATCAATGAAAATGTTGCTAATGTCCCTGCAGAATATTTAAATGGCTTCTTGGCTCCTCACCCGAGAGGAAAAACCCGCCCCCCAGAAGTGAAAAAGTGTAAAAATGTAATTTGAGATGAATTTGTAAAGCTCAGTCTGAAAAACATAAAATTGTATGAAAAATTTAAATGTAAAACTTTCAACAAAAAAAAAAATCTGAAAAAAATTGTATCTGAGAAAACAGCAAATTTATAAATACTTTTTTTTTATATATAAAAATTTCCATTTACGAAAAGGATCCTTTGTTTCCAACAATAATGGAACAAAAATCACTCCATATATAATGCTTTGTTTTGCTTTCTCTTTTTTTTAATCTTCCACAAAATAAAAAAAAATCCCTACAGGTTAATATGAATACTTTTAGGAGGCTCTGCAAGTAGATGGAAGCCCAGATTTACCGGCTGGATAATAGGTGTCAAATGGTAAACAGAGGATGAGAGCATATTAGCACAGCCTGCTCACTACAAACACTACAAGCTTTATCAGCACCTATACAGAGATCCAGTGTGTGTTTAAATTCACTCCATATCATCATTCCTGCAGTGAATGAGTCTTTTTTTCTCTAAACCTCTTAGCGATTCTTCACCAAGGCTTAATCGCTGCCTTTGGACCATATGTCACATGGATAAATTATCCAGGAAACCAAACTGCCAGCTCGGCCGGTGCTGTCAAGCCTCACGGTACACGTTTTACGGTTCACAAGGGGTGTGTGGAAACAATCAGTAGATCATCTGGACAGGCCTGGTGTTCAGTGCGTTTTTGTTTTTTATTTTTTTTTGCTGTGCAGAGGTGAGCCATGGAGGCTGCAGCAGAGCCGGGCTGCACATGAGAACAGGCCTGACAGAAATCTAATCTTCAGCTTCCACAGCTGTTTCCTTCTTTTCACTGCGGAGGCAGCAAATCAGACATCATTCAGATCCATCTCAGCCTGTTGTTTGGCGTTTGTCTCCCAATCTGGGGTTCTTGTAGAGTTTTGAAAGGTATTTCCGGCGCATTTTCTTTGTAAAAGGAGAACAGATTTGTTTGGAATAAAGTTTTTTTTTCTTTCTTTAGTCAAAGTGTTTCTTCTGACTACAGGGTAGATGTTTCTGGAGTGTATCAATAATTGGAAAATGTAATGTTTGTCATGTTTGTTCATTGATCCTAATCCTCCTCTGCCGTCTTCTTGCCATGGGGCTACAAGCCTGTAATTATTGCCGCTCTGCAGTCCGTCCCCTGAGACATTGTTTCTTTAAGACGCGTTGACTTTGTCTGCAGTTAAATGAATTGCTGCTCTCAGTGATCATGTTTTGAGTCCAGCCGGACAACCCGAGACTGCTTTGAATACTGCTCACATGATCGGAAACTACTTTGGGTTTATTTTGTTTAGATAAACATGCAACTAAAGATGCTGCCTGCTCCTTAGGCGGATTAAAGGTGTCCCATGATGAGGGAATCAATGTTTTATGCAATTTGATTTATGCTGTGGGCCAAAGCTGATGTGA